GAAATATGATTCTAAGGAGCCACTTTACATTGAATTTAAGAAGGCATCCACAAAATTAGATTATATGCAATCAATTTACTTGATCCACTCCGTTCATTTTGATCTATATGATTCGCATGAGATGTAAACCAAAAATTAAATATATTGGGTTGTATTTACTAATGCATCAAGTGATAGTAAAATTAACAGTTTTATGACAGCACAATCAAAGAGACGATGAAAAATATGTGTTAGAAATATTTAAATATTATGATTTTTATTTTGTAAGACGTTTTAGATTATGATGAATGGAGCGGATCGTCTATTGAAATAGCCTAACACATACATTAAGAGGTGCATTTTTAGATTCAATCTAAGGTGGCTTCTTAGAATCACATTCCTCTATGTGTGTGTGTATAATATCATAAGTTTGATACTTATGGAAAACTTGGACACATTGTACATTTCCCTTGTAAGACATATATTCATATTTATTTGTCTTGCATCATGTTTTTATCCATAAAGAAGGTTCACAAAGGGTTTAATTGAGGACAGACGCCTGTACTATTGCCAAATCCATATCGACGAATAATAAAATAAATCAAGTATATGAATGTAATAAATGATCCCCGCTGTTTGCATCCTTAATCTGACCTAAAAGACATAATTATGAGACAAAATATCTCTCAAAGTGTCTCCCCTGTCTCTCCCAAATGAATTGTACGGCCCTTTTATACAGCTGTAGTGTCTCTATACAACGTACTCTTATTAGTTCTCTCATTTTCGTGCCTTTGCTTGTCCTTGCATCCATCAACGTGGGAAAATTTCATCAAATGTGGGCCTTCAGCTTTTAGGGATGCCCTCAAGTTTCTTTGGCTGGCAAACAGTGGCGGACCCACCCTTGTTCAAAGTGGTTCACTTGAACCACCTCATGCAAAAGTTCTCTATAGCCTAGTGGTATTGCAGTTGGTAACATTTTGTAAGAGGTCTGGAGTTCAAACCATCCAGTCTTCGAAAATTTCTCTTTTAGGCTTCTTTCCTTTTACCTCCCCTCTATTCTTCTTCTTCTTCTTCTTCTTCTTTTCCTTTCATTTTATCCCTTTGTTCTGTCTACCTCTTTAAGGCCTTCTATAAATATTTTTGTTTCTTATATATATAAGTCAAATCATTGTTTAAAAATGATTGTTTTTCTCTTTAATAACCCTTCCTTCAATTTTTTCCCCACCTGCTATTATTTGAGAAAAAAATTTAGTGTATATTTTGAACCACCACCAAAAATGTTGTAGATCCGCCACTGCTGGCAAAGACATTTTTGGGTCACGTATGGGGTTTGGCCCTTCAAGTCTTAAGGGTCAGGTGGCTTTGCGCCCTTGTGGAGATACAAATTTATACTGTAATATTTGTGATTTTTTTGTAGATTCTGTTGGTTTTTTACTTATAATGGTTCCTCCAAAAAAAAAATCTCGTATGGGAAGCTAGCTTGGAAGCAAGAGCTTTGCTACATGGACCCAAAATATGGGACCAATAAAGGGGACAAGCATTATCCAATAGGAGGGGGACACCTCACTTGTCCCCTTTATTGGTCCCATATTTTGGGTCCTTAAAGAAATTTTCTTTTTTTTTTTTAATTCTTCTTTCCTTCAAGATATCATAGTGCTAAATTTTACTGGACATCTGGCTTCGGGGCTAAGGCATGCACTGTCTTAAATAACAAGATCAGATAGATACGGGTAGTTGACACTCTTTTGAAGAGAAGATTTTGACCTATTGTTACTATCAAGACATGATTGTTGTTAAATAAAAAACTCTGAGCACTATTTTCTTCATTTCTTTTTTCCTTTTTCCCGGGTTAAAACGCCCATGTTCGTTAATGATCAAGAATATTTATATCAAATTTATGTTCAAATGATTATGGAAGTCAACTAAACCTCCTTGTAGAAAATTGATCACGTATCTAGTCGTGTTCACTGTTACGTTTTTATTTCGTTTTGTGCTGATCTTTATATCTTCTAAATTATTATTGTTATTTACGAGAGTTACCAATTTCTTTCAACTTTTCATATTATAAGAACACTCCACCTTTAACATAAACATTTCATATGTCGGTGAGGATGAATTTTAGAAATTCAAGAACCACAATGCAGAATTTAGTGCTAGATTTAAGTTTCGCACATAATGTGTTAATTAATCATAGCAAAGATCTTTTATTTTGCCGATACGTGTATAATAATTGAGGAAATTTTTTTACCCTTTATGGAATAGTACAATGGCAGAATATCCTGCATATAGGTGACAATCTTGTGCACAAGTAGATGGTTTAATCTGTTCTCTGAAGAAGCAACAGTCATCATCAGGCTTTGATCACATATCCCCATTAGTTACAAAAATACCCAAAACACGAAATAAATAAATAAATAAATAAAATAAAAAATAAAAAAAAGTCCCAATAACCACTCTATAACCGCAGAAAAACTTCAGCACAAGCCTAAGGACAATAGAGGCTACACAACCTGAATCCTCAAAGGTTCATTTTGAAACCGTGCCTCTTGAAGCTGTTCAAACTAGAACAAGAATTGATGGCCAGTCTGAATAATCCCTTCCATTAGTTTCAAATATTGCTGACCAAACCAAGCCGTTAATTACATGAGGAACGCACAAAATAATAATAAAAAAGGAAACATATGATTTACACCTATTAATCTCCATTACAGTTGTTAATAATGTGGCATTCATCTAGAAGCTTGCTTACAAACGATCAAAGCGCCAGGGGAAAAGAATTGCAAACTATCTTCTCTTTCAAGGGTAAAGCTTGAGACGGAAATGGCTTGGGTGTAAACTGAAGTATTTTGATGGGTGAACATTAAAATCATTACTCGGACATGCCTTTGTATGGACTGCCGTTAACTGGAGTAACAACAGCAAGGGTGACAAAGCCACCAAGAATCACGATTGATATACCCAATGCATTAAGCAACAAAGACTCGGATGAGTAACGGGTGATGACGTTGTTGGTTTGAAGAAATGTAGCCTTCTCTAAAATCCCCGTGGCAGCAGTAGCGACAGCAAGAGCATATATGTACGTCCCTAAAAATACATGCCATGGGAGCAAGGTAGCTCTGCTGTTCCTTGAGCCACCAGGATACCAAAAGGTCGCAAAACCAGCCCCCCACTGTACAAACAATGATATACATAAGAGTTCTGCACAGATATAGCATAAAAATATTTTTATTCGATAAATTCACAAAACCCCCATAACTTTTGTGTGTTTCCCACAGAATCCTGGAGTTTTTTTTGTCATTAAACCCCCAAAACTATTCCTGTAAAACCCCCAAAACTATTCCTGTAAAACCCCCAAAAGCTCCAAAATGTCAATAACCCCCAAAGCTTTTACCTTTTACCTCAAAATTCAAAATGCAAGCAGTGTTTTAAATATTGGATATCAAGGATATGTTGGACAGAGGAATTCCATATCGGATGGCAAATATTAGGTACATATATGAGATAATGTCTAAATATATACCATAGATGTTAATACTTAGTGCACCAAAGAATGTGAGTTATGGATAAAGATGATCTTTTGTAAAAGTTTTTGCAAAGAATTTGGTCTAAATTGAACTCTAATTCTTCTCCAATGTTACTTGCATAAGCAGATGTTTATTTAAGTTGAGACCTCAATTGAACCATAAATCAAAACCCATCATTTAAAACAAATAAAATCCCAAATTGACATCGCAACATTTCAATCGATTTTTTTCAATACGAAATGTCACCTCATATATCGGGAAATTCATGATTTATCGCCAAAAAATTGCCATTTTCGATATTTTCAGGACGAAATGTCACCTCATATATTGGAAAATGCATAACATGTTGCTAAAAAACTGTCAAAATTTGGTAAAGGATATTGAGACCACATCGTTTTGCGGCAAACTTTATAAAAGGATATATCAAATGTTTTAGGGATGTTTAAAGCAATGGGGGCAAGTGGAGGACCATCTTATCCACCCAATTCAGTTCTTTCATTATTTTATCTGGGTCTCATCTTCTCCTCCTCTCCATGCTTTTTGCAAGGTTTTATAGAAAAAGTTAAACCCTTAGGGTTAAGACACTTTGAAGTTTTCAGGTTTACTAGGGTTTTATTAGAGAAAGATATCACTAAATTTTAAATTATCAAACAAATACCACATAAAATGAAAAAAATGCCCATGAATTAAATAAAATGAACTTTCATTACCTTTTACAACACTACCATTGAATTTCGGATAAAATCGCTAAGCTACTATATACTTTAGTTATTAATAGATAACTTTCATGGATTTTCAGGTATTATTATAAAACTAACAAACAGGTTTCTGATAGTACTATATGATAATTTCTGTTGATTTCTAACCGTGGTATTTTTATCTAACATAAATATTATTTGGTAGTGTTGTTTTGTGAAAGTTTCAGAGTGAAGAAATGTGGGGAAATACCTGAAGGCCAAACAGGAAGAGACATGCTAGACCTAACCATGAGTGGAGACTGTAGAAGTTGTCAATCCCCTTATCATTGTGAAATTTTAATGCAGCCCACACACCAATCAGGCCCAAACACAACGCAATAAATTGAATTGCCAGATGCACGGATTTTTTGAAATTCTTGGTTCCTCCAACTGTCTTGTATGCTAGCATAGCTATAGTAAGAGAAAACACCAATTAAACAAATAACAGAAGGTTCTAGTTTAAATAGTTCGAATCAAAATACCTGTTGTATGCAGTAAGATATGGGAGTTCTATCTGATAACGCAAAGTAATCACAATGTGACATTGAGTTATTTTACTTCGAAATTTCATTAGAACTTGTAAACAAGAAAATTGTGCCCCGGAGACCTAGCTCAGGTGTTGTAGAATTAGGATAAGTTTAGGGAGGTTATGGGGTCAAGTCTATGGCCATTTTTCACCAAAAGCTTCTGAGTTTCAGTGTGTTATTTCCTTTGAAACTAAAGCACGCTATCTACTAAAGTGAAAGTTTGTTCGAGATTTTCTTTTACTCATGACTTCAATAATTTATCCCATTCATTACTTTCACTCAGAATTTGAATTGTACCATGGAGCATAAGCTCATCCTGTATAAGCAAAAAATATGATCGACACCCTGCCCATAAACTACATAGATTCAAATGTCATCATCATAATCATCAAGCTTTTTTCCAACTAAAGTGCAAATGGCTAACTGAAGCGGCTGTGACTAAAAAAATCCCTTTGAGATACATTCCCTTGAAGTTTGACAAGTCTGCAGCAAGCTTAAGTTTAAATGTTCAAACGACCACTTTGGTTAGCCACTTGCACTCTATTTGGAAAAAAGCAATGACATGTCAGAGTAAACTGGTCTGCAGTCAAGTTCATTCCATGATGAGTTCTTTCTTCACCACCAAAACACAAATATATGATAAAATTTGAGGCTCTTGGAGAATGCTTAGGTAGGGGGTCAGGTTGCATCAGATAAGGGTCAAGATGAGGCCACTTGACAAACTGGAGATGAGCAGATCTGATGGCATCAATACTATAAGAGGTGAACAAATGACTTGCCACCACCTCAGGTTAGATGTTCAAATTCAGGAAGAAGCAATGCATGAATTGAAAGAAATGGCTGCAATTATATCAATCAATGGACACTCCTTGGGTATTTATATACATTTATTTAAATGTGTACTCAATTATATAATACATGTTTTAATTTTAAAACACTCGTCGTATACTTCTTGGACATATATTCTACACTTCATATGCAATTCTTGAAACTTATTGGACATAAGTTGAGTTCATTTCACCCCGCCAGTTCAAAACTATGATTAGAAAGGTTCTTTTGGATATCAAGTTAAAAACATGCAATTTTCTAATTTAAAGATCTATATTATAAAAGAAACATAAGAATGTCACAGGAATTTTATTTTGTAGCATGTGAAATGGAATAATAATATTGATCTCATAGAAATTATTATTGCATGTGGAAATTATTATTGCACGTATATGTATGTTAGGCTATGTGGAGCCTAACTATCAGACTTGGCCCTATTTGCTGCATTGAAGAGAAAAAAAAGGCAAGAACAGGAAAAACGAAGCAGACAACGTTTTGGGTGCTGGCCGGTCGACCGCGAGGCAAGGCCCGGTCGATCGGAAAACATGCACACTACAGGGTGTGTTTCTGCATTCTGTCCGGTCGACCGCGAGGCTAGGCCCAATCGACCGCGGACCCTGTAATTGGCTTTCTGAGATTTTGAGGTCTGGTAGGTTGACCGCGCCATTGTTGGCGGTCGATCGCGACTCAGGTTTGGGTCTGGGCTCGTTTTCTGGTCTGTTTAAGATTCTTGTTTGTAAGAACCCTATGCTATAAAAGGGGTGATTAAGGCAGCTTGTAAACTAACCTGAGAATAGTGAAATTTTTCTTGCGGCAGTCGTGGACGTAGCTTCTCTCGTTGAGAAGTGGACCACGTAAAATTCTCTGTGTTCTCTGTGATTGTTCTTTTTCTCTTCCTCATCTCTATTTCCAAATCCCAACAAGGGTTAGAAAACCTAGCAATTGGTATCAGAGCGACAAGGTTCGACGCAGGCGATTTAAGGTTAGATATGGGATCTGAGAATGAGACGTCCAAGATCGAGAAGTTTGATGGGACAAACTTCGGGTACTGAAAGATGCAGATGAAAGATTACCTCTATCAGAAAGATCTGCATTTGTCGTTGGGAGAGAAGCCAGTGGATATGAAGGATACAGAATGGAAGTTGTTAGATCTGAAGACCCTTAGAGCAATCAGGTTGACCTTGTCCAGCCAGATCTGTAGCCTTCAACATCAAGAATCAAGACTCGACGACGTCTCTCATGGCTGCTTTATCCAGTATGTATGAACAACTCTCTGCAGCAAATAAGCTACATCTCATAAAAAAATTATTTAATCTGTGGATGTCTGAGAATCAAAAATTCAAGAATCACCTGAATGAATTTAATGAGATCACGGATCAGTTAAACTTCGTTAATATTAAATTCGATGATGAAAAATCACCTGAATGAATTTAATGAGATCACGGATCAGTTAAACTTCGTTAATATTAAATTCGATGATGAAATTCAAGCCCTCTTAATACTTGGTCAGTTGGGATCAGTTAAACTTCGTTAATATTAAATTCGATGATGAAATTCAAGCCCTCTTAATACTTGGTCAGTTGCCTAATACTTGGAAGGGTACCGTTATTTCGATTAGCGGGTCATTTGAAAAATTGAAACTGAAATTTTCAGAGGTTGTTGACATGGTTAACTTATGGCCGAGAAGATTAGAAGGAAAGGAGTCTCTAGTTCAGGGTCAGCACTGAATATTGAAAGTAGAGGCAGAAATAGAAACAAGAATAGAGGAAATAGCCGTGGGAGACCAAATTCGAGGAACGACAGGTCAAAATCCAGAAATAGTAAAAGCAAGAAAGAGATTGATTGCTGGAACTATGACAAGTATGGGCACTATGAGAATCAGTGTAGAGAATCCAAAAAAGACAAGGAGAGCAAGACTAAAGTGAACATTGCCTCAAGAGAATCAGATGATACCATCATTTGCTCGTTAGAGAGCAAAACAGAATCATGGGTGCTGGATTCGAGAGCATCATTTCATGCTACCTCAAATAGAGATCTATTTGAGAACTATGTTCTAGTAAATCTAGGAAAAGTCTACATTGGTGACGACCAGGCGTGTGATATAGTTGGAAAAGTAGTGCAGATCAACCTCAATAGGTCCGTATGGAAATTGAATGATGTGAGATATGTTCCTAGCCTGAGGAAGAATCTGATCTCCATAGGCAACTGACAAAAGAGGGATATATAACAACCTTCGCATGTGATACGTGGAAGGTTACCAAGGAGTCTATGATTGTTACCCGTAGCACGAAGAGTGGGGCTTTATATGACGACAGATGCATATGGATCCATTGTAGTGGTTGAGAGCAAAAAAGATCCAAATTTATGACACAAAAAGCTTGATCACATGAGCAGCAAAGAGCTAAAGGTTATGCAATCGAATAAAAAGCTATCAGGTTTGAGGTCGACTGATCTTGACTTATGTGACAGCTGCATCTTTGGAAAATAGAAGAGAATAAACTTCAAAAGAATTGGCAAAACTCCGAAGGAAAAGAAACTTGAGCTAGTTCATACAGATATGTGGGGTCCAGCATCAGTCCAGTCTACTGGTGGAAGGTTGTATTTTGTGACCTTCATAAATGATCACTCGAGCAAAACTTGGGTCTATTTCTTGAAACACAAATCAGAAGTGTTCGAAGTGTTCAAAAGGTGAAAAACTATAGTAGAAAATAAAACAGGTTTGAAGATCAAGAAGCTGCGATCAGATAATGACGGTGAGTATGAAGATTCTGAGTTCAAGAAGTTCTGCTATGATAGTGGCATCAGATTGAAGAGGATAGTGTCAGGTACACCACAACAGAACGACATAGCAGAACGGATGAACATGATATTGACTGAGAGAACCAGAAACATGCGTCTACAAGCAGGACTTCGAAAGCAGTTCTGGACAGAAGCAGTCAACACAACAGCCTACCTGATCAACCCGGGACCATCAGTACCTTTGGAGCACAGAATACTGGAAGAAGTATGGAGCGAAAAGAAGGTAAACATTTCTCATCTAAGAGTCTTTGATTGTATTTCATATGTTCATTTGAGTAATCGTGTAAGAAACAAACTCGATTCTAAATCTTTGAAATGTTATTTTATTAGCTTTGGTGGTGATGAGTTTGGCTATAAGTTCTGCGATGAACAGAACAAGAAAATCATTAGAAACAGGGATGTTGTCTTCAATGAAGCAGTCCTCTACAAAGATCGTGATGTTGTTTAGTCTACTAGCTCGGTGCAGTCTGAGCCTGTATACTTCGAGCTGGATAATGTTCCAGATAGGAGCAACCTTGAGGCTAGTTCTGATGAGGCAGAAGAAGTAGCAAAAGAGGTGGAAGAAGAGATGATAGAGGAAATTACTTCAGACAGGACAGATGCAGATGCAGAGTCTGGTCCACCTATCAGAGAGTTGACGCGAACAGCTAGAGTACCTAAGCCAAATCCGAAGTATCCATCATTACAATCCAAGTCTCATTTGAACTACTTATTGCTGAGTGACGGTGGAGAGCCAGAAAGCTATGACGAGGCATGTCGAGTAGGTGATGCGAGCAAGTGAGAGCTTGCTATGAAAGATGAGATGAAGTCCTTGAACTCTAACAAGACTTGGGAGCTTGCGAAGTTGTAAGTGGGAAAGAAAGCCTTGAGTAACAAATGAGTGTACAGAATCAATGAGGAGCATGATGGTTTCAAGAGATACAATGCTAGATTGGTGGTTAAAGGGTTTCAGCAAAAAAGAGTCGACTACACAGAAATCTTCTCTTGTAGTCAAATTGACTACTATCAGATCGGTTCTGAGCATTATTGCAGCTGAGGATCTACATCTCGAGCAATTAGATTTGAAGATAGCATTCATCCACGGTGACTTAGAGGAAGAGATATGCATGCAGTAGCCAGAGGAGTTTACTCAGAAAGGCAAAGAGAGAAGATGATATGCAGATTGAAAAAGAGCTTGTATGGTCTGAAACAAGCTTCAAGGTAATGGTACAAAAAGTTTGATGGGTTCATGCAGAAGAATGGATACTCCAGGTACAATGCTGATCATTATTGTTTCTTCAAGAGGCTTGACGTCAGCTACATTATCTTGTTGCTATACGTTGACGACATGCTAGTAGCCGGTTCAGATATATGTGAGATCAAAAAGTTGAAGAAGCAGCTGTCAACTGAGTTTGACATGAAGGACTTAGGTGCAGCGAAGCAGATTTTAGGGATGAAGATTAGCAGAGATAGGCTTTTAGACACACTGCGGCTATCTCAAGCCGAGTACATTAGACGGGTGCTTGAGAGGTTTGGAATGAGTGATGCTAAGGCTGTTAGCACACTTTTGGCTAGTCATTTCAGGTTGATTAGGGAGCAATGTCCAGTGACTGATGAGGAGAAAGACTACATGGTGAAGGTTCTATATGCTTCAGCCATTGGAAGTCTTATATAAGTTATGGTGTGCACGAAGCCTGGCATTGTCCATACAGTGAGAGTTGTGAGTAGATTCATGTCAGATCCATAAAAACAACACTGGGAAGCAGTGAAGTGGATTCTAAGATACCTGCGGGGTACTATAGAGAATTGTTTATACTTCAAGAGAAGCAAGTTGGGTCTGTAGGGATTTGTTAATGCAGACTTTGCTGGTGAGATAGATCAGAGGAGGAGCACTACGAGGTATGTGTTCACATTAGGTACAACTGCCATCAGTTGTGTCTTCCAATTGCAAAAGATCATCGCTTTATCGACTACAGAGGCAGAATATGTTGCTGTGACAGAGGTAAGCAAGGAGATGATATGGTTAAAGGGGTTCTTGGAGGAGTTGGGACAGAAAAATAAGAAGAGTGTCTTACACTGTGATAGCCAGAGCATCATCCATTTAGCAAAGAACCCAGCTTTTCATGTCAGGACTAAGCATATACAGGTTCGTTATCACTTCATAAAGTCAGTCTTGGATGATGACGTGTTAAAGCTTGTGAAGATCCAAAGAAACAAGAACCCGACTGACATGTTTACGAAGACTGTCACTATGGAGAAACTGAAGTTGTGTTCAACTTCAGTTGGCCTCATTACTTGATAATATGAGAGTCCATCGTCACAGGGAAAGATCATAAAGACTGAAAGCTAGTCTCCAAATGGGAGATTGTTAGGCTATGTGGAGCCTAACTATCAGACTCGGCCTTATTCGATGCATTGAAGAGAAAAAACAAGCAAGAACAGGAAAAACGAAGCAGGCAACGTTTTGGGTGCTGATCGGTCGACCGTGAGGCAAGGCTCGGTCGACCAGAAAACATGCACACTACAGGGTGTGTTTTGGCATTCTATTCGGTCGATCGCGAGGCTAGGCCCGGTCGACCGCGGACCCTGTAATTGGTTTCTTGAGATTTTGACGTTCTGGTCAGTCGACCGCGTCATTGTTGGCGGTCGATCGCGACTCGGGTTTGGATCTGGGCTGGTTTTCTGATCTGTTTAAGATTCTTGTTTGTAAAAAACCTATGCTATAAAACGGATGATTAGGACAGCTTGTAAACTAACCTGAGAATAGTAAAAATTTTCTTGCGGCGACCGTAGACGTAGCTTCTCTGGTTGAGAAGTGAACCACGTAAAATTATATGTTCTCTGTGATTGTTCTTTTTCTCTTCCTCATCTCTATTTCCAAATCGCAACAGGGGTTAGAAAATCTAACAATGTACGTGTAGCAGTGTCCCTGTACCCTACTTTTTACCAATTTTTCTGTTCCCATACCCGTATCCGCACCTATGTAACTTAGTTTGTGGATATAAGATATGTTCCTACTCCTGCCTTCTCCAACTTCTCCTGTCCCCCACTTTTTTATCTGTTGTTGGAGAACTTTGTACCTTAGATCCTCCTTCAAAGAAAACCATGAACCATACAACGTAAATTTATAGATAAGAGCCTTTCCTGAAAAGCAAGCATCAACGGTGTTACCAGGCTGTTTCATACTACAATTTGCTGAAATCATGACATATCAGGAGTATGATCACACGGCACTTTGATGACACTTCAGGATACACCATGACATGGTAAGTCATAGTATCTAGATGACCTACTTTCAAATTTTATATCAAAACATCATGCCAAAGATCTATGCTTCCATTTGATACATGCAATACTATGTTTTCCGGTGTTGGGGAGACTTTCTGACTAAGCTCTAACTAGGCTAAACCATTTCGTCATTTTGATATTCTTTTCTAGCAAAGAGGACGACTGCAAGACTCAACTCACATCCTCAATTCTTGAGAGCAAAAAGACATATGATTCTAATAATATCATAACTCATATGCTCATACTTGATATCAGAAGATTATGTTAAACAGTGCAAGTACACCCTATGTATGGTATGATATGGAAGTATCAATCATGTAGGATTTAAGAGGCAGAAATACATGTTCTATCATATATATATCGGCACTTGATGCAATTAATTACCTTATCAGTTCCAAATCTTTTATTATTTGCAATATATATATCGGCACTTGATGCAATTAATTACCTTATCAGTTCCAAATCTTTTATTATTTGCAATCACTATAATAGCCAATTTTGATTCTGAATGGAAGTATGCATGCAATCCTTTTTCTCCTTTAGCCTAAGAGTTTGCATCCTTGTCAATTTAATACATATCAGTGAAGACTGACAACAGGACCTACATGACTAAAACAGGGCCACAAGATGCATGCCAAATTCATGCACTCTCTTTATTAAAGAATTGTTCCAAGCAATAAATTTGATAACATTATAAAAGGTGGCCGTAATGCCCTTGCAAGTCACTATTCAAGTCTGCATCACCCAATTGCAGACAGGCAAAAGAATAGAATAGAAATTTACTCGAGACTCCTGAGGAATTTATGAAGCTATAGTAAGAGATAAGAGAGAGCTGTATGTTTTCTTTTCTTTTTTTCCCTCTCTCCGAATCCTTTGGGCATAAGGAGAATTTGAATCCCGCAACTCTTTTTCTCAATCACAATAGGCTTTTACTGCACCAACATAGTGGCACTTCCAGTTGTTATATGTTTCTTCATTATGTGTTATGGTATGAGAAAAAGAAAAGGAGAACATGTTTACCTTCACCATTCAAAAGTACGAAGCCGATCACCATGAGTACTGGGTGGACCTGCAATGAAACAACTCCAATGTGTTCAGTCTTTCTCACCGACGCTAAACATTTAAGTGGATGGAAGCAGGGGACCCAAAAAAAAAAAAAAAAAAAAATGCTCGAGTTACACTGAGTTGAGTGACTTGTGGTTTTAACAACCGTTCTGGCTTTAACACCAGAACAGCAGAAAACAGCTCCACTGAAATATGGACAGGGATATTTCAGCGGTTCCCTCTACAAGTACATCACGATCCCTCCGTCTAAAACCCAGTAAAAGGGCTGAAATTTTATTAATCAATTCAACGGAAACCCTAGATTACTAGCTTGTGCCAGCTTACAAATCAACTAGTTTCCGCAATTAAAACCCTGTCCATATAAAACGACAGCGGAGAGGATCATCACTGTAAATCTCTGGGAAGGGAAAATATTAAAACAAGAAATTGAGAAATGAGATTACATTAAAGATGAGATCTTTGTTGTCGGAGATGAGAGACATGCCGCCTCTGAAATGTAGGGCCCACGTCAACACCAGAGCGGCGACGGCGAGCCTCCGCCCCCTCCCCCGCCCAGATCACTCTGGACGAAGCATCATGATACGAATCGGACCACCGCGCAGCCCCGATCGCCCATTCTTCGGATCTCAGACAAAGAGAAAGGAGGAGGAGGAGGAGGAGACTTTTAGGCTTTGGGCTACAGGGTTTGATTATTAAAATGGGCCACCTATTTTCTTGTCATTATTGAGCTACGTCCCAAGTCTGGGCCTTGAAGGGATCCACGAACTAAATTTTTATTCCTTTTGCTAGCTTTCCGCGGTTATATTAAAATACTCCCAGATAGGACTGTTCAAAAAGCCCGTCGGCCCGGGGCCGAACTAAATTTTTATTCCTTTTGCTAGCTTTCCGCGGTTATATTAAAATACTCCCAGATAGGACTGTTCAAAAAGCCCGTCGGCCCGGGGC